GTGGTGGTGGTGGTGGTAGTGGTGTTTATCCCTCCTCAGCTGGACATCGTTAAACTGCTGTGTCTGTGGCATTAATAATAGAAACAACGGCAGCAGCAGCAGTAGCATCCTCTTGGAACTTGAGGTTGCTCAATAATGCATGAGACGGATCTGTGCTATTCTATGCTAACTTCACACTTTCTCATGGTCATTCTCACTTTTTCCTCTTTTCCTTTTTCTCTCTCCCGTCATTTAGCCCGGTCGCACCAATCCCACTGTGAAGCTCTTTGTCGTCAGCCTGACGGACCTTGAAAACGGCGGTGAAGCGGTGAGCAGTAGTCCCGTCTCGCCGCCGGCCAATCTCACCGAAAGGTAAGTTTCTAAAACTAAAGAGAAAAAACTTTTTACTTTGCAGCACTTTTGAGCCCTTCAACAATTTGAAATTTTTTCGTTTTCTTCCCCCCCCCAAGCGACTACTACCTCACCTCGGTGGCCTGGTTCGACTCGAGCAGCTTCATCGCCGTCTGGTTCAATCGCGTCCAGAACTACTCCACCTACTCGCTGTGCAGCCCGCAGGGCGCCGGCACCAGCGGCGGCAACTGGAGCTGCGAAGACGTACGTCCTATCTGAACTGCTGCTGCTGCCGCTGCTCACTGCTAACTTCTTTTTAACCCTTTTAACCTCCATTCCTAAACCTCCTTTCTCCTTTCTCCTGCTTCAGAACCACGTCTACTCCGTCAGCGACGGCTGGATCGAGATTGGCAAAGTGTACGTCGGCCCTGACGGCGAGCACTACTACACACTGCTGCCTGACGAGACCCGAGAGCGAAACGTCCAGATAGTGAAGATCAACCGCAAGTCCTTGCAGACGGAGTACGTCACCTCGGGCCGGAAGGACGTCACCGACATTCTGCGCATCCTACCCTCTGGAAGTGATCGGACGACCATCCACTACATGGCCACCAGGGAGGGGGCCCCCGGCCAACGGCACTACTACAGCGTCGAAGTAGCCACTAGTCGAAAGTCTTTCTTCGGCTCCAACAAACAGCAACATCAGCAGGCAAAACCTCCTGCCTACAGCGGATGGCCCAAAGAGGGAATGGGTAGAAATTCGGCGGGCTCTTCCAGCTCCTCCTCTAGCGTCTCCTTCAGCGAGCAGTGCCACACCTGTGATCAACTCGAGCTTAAGCAGTGTCTGTACAATCGCGTGCAGCTGAGCAGGGCGGCCTCGTACTACGTGCACGAGTGCCTCGGCCCGGGCATTCCCTACTCGACGCTGGTGGAACGGGAGAGTGAGGCCGACCAGCAAACGAGCACCAGCCGGCGACCCTGGCTCAACAATGACCAACTGGCGGCCAGTCTGGCCACCAAGCTGATGCCCACGGTGCGCACTGAGGTCTTCAACACCACCGAGGGATACTGTAAGTTTTTGCTTTTCTTTTTNGCGAGCAGTGCCACACCTGTGATCAACTCGAGCTTAAGCAGTGTCTGTACAATCGCGTGCAGCTGAGCAGGGCGGCCTCGTACTACGTGCACGAGTGCCTCGGCCCGGGCATTCCCTACTCGACGCTGGTGGAACGGGAGAGTGAGGCCGACCAGACGAGCACCAGCCGGCGACCCTGGCTCAACAATGACCAACTGGCGGCCAGTCTGGCCACCAAGCTGATGCCCACGGTGCGCACTGAGGTCTTCAACACCACCGAGGGATACTGTAAGTTTTTGCTTTTCTTTTTGTTGTTTCCATTGGAATTTTTTTGCAATAGAGCTTTGAGTGCGTAGAATTTCCTCCTCCTCCTCCTCTAGTTCAAAATCATCACGCCATTGGCAAATCAGACAATTCAAGTGGCTAAAGTAGCTAGATTATAGACTTTCTAGAATTAGAATTAGAGAGAGAGAGAGGACAAGAATTATTCTTGTGCAGTGTGCAGTAAAAGGAGTTTCAAGTGCAGTGCAGTTATGAATCACAACTGAACACACACACACACACATGCTGTTTTCTTTTCTCATATTCATTTCTACTTGAATAANGACAGGAATTATTCTTGTGCAGTGTGCAGTAAAAGGAGTTTCAAGTGCAGTGCAGTTATGAATCACAACTGAACACACACACACACACATGCTGTTTTCTTTTCTCATATTCATTTCTACTTGAATAATAATAATCAGCGTTCCAGCGAACGGCGTGTGTGTTCAGTACACAAAGTAACCAAAAGCAAAACCAAACAGCAAGGGGCTACTGCTGGCGCTCACAAGTAGCCACCCAAACTGCTATTGTGTGCCGTACATTTGAAGAGGGAAAAAGAAAGAAGGAGAGAGAGAGAGCATCCTCTCATCTTTGCATTGCAACTCTCTTCAATAAAATAATGACAGCATTTAAGTTATTAATATTNCATTTGAAGAAAGAAAAAGAAAGAGAGAAAGAGAAAAAAAGAATTCTCTCATCTTTGCATTGCAGCTCTCTTCAATAAAATAATGACAGCATTTAAGTTATTAATATTCCCGCCAAGTGATGCATCACACTGGCACTTGCCGGCAAGTGATGCGGCTCGGGTGAACACACTATATACCGATGGCACCAATGTTTGCACCCAAAGCTTCCAAAGCACGAGTATGCAAACACACACACACTCACACAGCATGAGCCACTGTTGTCAGTGAATGTGAGTAAGGCAGTCAGTCNGGGAAAAAGAAAGAAGGAGAGAGAGAGAGCATCCTCTCATCTTTGCATTGCAACTCTCTTCAATAAAATAATGACAGCATTTAAGTTATTAATATTACCGCCAAGTGATGCATCACACTGGCACACACTGGCACACTGGCACTCGCCGGCAAGTGATGCGGCTCGGGTGCACACACTATATACCGATGGCACCAATGTTTGCAGCCAAAGCTTCCAAAGCACGAGTATGCAAACACACAGCATGAGCCACTGTTGTCAGTGAATGTGAGTAAGGCAGTCAGTCAATCAGGCAGTGAGGCAGTAGGACAACAACTTCAGTCTGACGGAAGGGAAGGGAAAACAAAAGAGGAACAGTGAAGGAAAGAGAAGAAGAAAGGAAGGGAGGGAGGGAATGACCACCATCACTTCTTCGGAGAAAAGGAAGAAGTGATACATCACTCGATCAATGGCAGCAGCAGCAGCAGTNGGGAAAACAAAAGAGGAACAGTGAAGGAAGGAGGAGAAGAAAGGAAGGGAGGGAGGGAATGACTACCATCACTTCTTTGGAAAAAGGAAGAAGTGATACATCACTCGATCAATGGCAGCAGCAGCAGCAGTCGCTCAGTATGATGATGATGATGATGATGATGCTGTTGATCCCCGCCAATTGCCCACCCATCACTCAACAGTGGTGGCGGTGGTGGAAGTCCTCGATTCTTATTCAGTAGTAAGAAGTGGCAGTAATCATAAGTTGTGCNAGGAAAACAAAAGAGGAACAGTGAACTAAAGAAATGAGGGAAGGAATGACCACCATCACTTCTTCAGAAAAAGGAAGAAGTGATACATCACTCGATCAATGGCAGCAGCAGCAGCAGTCGCTCAGTATGATGATGATGATGATGATGATGCTGTTGATCCCCGCCAATTGCCCACCCATCACTCAACAGTGGTGGCGGTGGTGGAAGTCCTCGATTCTTATTCAGTAGTAAGAAGTGGCAGTAATCATAAGTTGTGCTGCTGCTGCTGTAATACAACTAATATTCAATTTGTGGGTTTGATGGCTTGGAGTACAGTACAAAAATAAACAGCAGCAGCAATAGGAGGGCAAAGAATGAGCATTCTGTAGCAGAAATTGACATTGTTTTCCTCTTTTCAATTTCCCTTTTTCCCTTTTCCTTTTTTAGCCCTTATTGTGCAGATGTTCATGCCGCCCTCATTTGATGAGAATCAAATCGTCAAGTACCCACTGCTCATTCAAGTAAGTCAGCTGCTGATCAGAAGAAAACAGTAGAAGTTAAACAAAAACCTAATTTTATTCTAATTAGGTCTACGGCGGCCCCGGCTCGCAGAACGTCAATGAGAACTTCAAGATGAACTTCGGCAAGTACCTCGCCAGCGCCAAGGACATCATCTACGCGTACGTGGACGGCCGCGGCAGCGGCTACCAGGGCGAGGCGCTCAAGTACCAGCTGTACCACAAGCTGGGCAGTGCGGAGATCGAGGACCAGATTCTGGCCGCCAAGTAAGTGGCCCTGGATCGAGGGGAATTCACCCTATCATTTGCATTTTGGTCAGGTACCTCCGCGAGACGCACAAGTGGATCAACAAGGACGCCATCGGCATCTGGGGCTGGAGCTACGGCGGCTACGCGACGGCGATGATCCTCGCCAAGGACACCGACGACCCCGTCTTCTCCTGCGGCATCTCAGTGGCGCCCGTCACCTCCTGGCTCCTCTACGGTAAGTGGTGTCATTTAGCAAATAGCAATGTAGAAACTTGCTTGAAAAAAACTAATTTAAACAAAAACCCCCCTACAACAGACTCGGCGTACACGGAGCGGTACATGGGCCTGCCGGAGAAGAACCAACAGAGCTACTTCAAGTCCGATGTGATGCACCTCGCCAACAACTNGCGTACACGGAGCGGTACATGGGCCTGCCGGAGAAGAACCAACAGAGCTACTTCAAGTCCGATGTGATGCACCTCGCCAACAACTTCAAGGGCAAGAAGTACCTGCTCATTCACGGAACGGCCGACGGTAAGAGTGTATAGTAGTAGTTAGGCGCCTTTTATTAATCCTTGACCTCGACTTGTTTTTCCTCGGTGTTTTCCCACCCCACCCACCTCACCTCACCAACAGACAACGTGCACGTGCAGAACTCGATGGCGCTGATCAAGGCGCTGAATCACGCCAATGTGATGTTCCAGACGCAGATCTACCCGGACGAGAATCACGCCCTGCCCGGCGTCAGCCTCCACCTCTACACCAAGATGGAGGCCTTCTGGAGTGAGTGCTTCCAGATGGACTCCTACGTCGAGGAGATTGGCCTCCGCCGGAGACGCATCATCAAACACGGCTCAGTCTGAGGAGGAAGAGAAGAGGAGAAAGAGGAGAAAGAGGAAAAGAACAACAGCAGACACGCACACATTCCAACGCAGATTTGACCAGAGCAGCAAAAAGAAAAGAAGAGCAACTTTTCGAAGGCCCAAGGACACTTGTCGGACCAGGCTGATATGATATCATCATCACCACCACATCACCTTCCTTACATTCTCTTCATTTCATCACCCCCTCTTTTTCATTCCTTTTTCAAAAGTGTCTTCAAATCGTCCTCCCCTAACTTATCACCCCTTTCTTCCCTTCCTTTCCGATTCCAACGCCACCATTTCCAAAAAAGGCCCACTCTTAACACTTGTACAGTGTACTTTTTAGTGTGATCAATGGGTGAAAAATGCTGATTTTAGCATCGGGACCAAACTAAGTTGGCAGCCATTTTTTAAATAAACTGTAAAAACGCTAGCTAATGAAACTATGTAGTTTTTCCAAATTTTTTTT